TTACTGTTAAAACTGATATAAAACAAATCTCAATTCCCGTTCCTATATATATATATAATTAGATTTATCATATGCTCTATATCTCATTATCTCAGCATGTCACTGCTTCATTAACCCTTCTGTTGTTTTCATTATGTCTTTCAAGAGAAAAATTCTTCATAATGATAAAAATTTTCTTTCAGTAGCTTATCATTTCTGACAAATTCGTAGACCTTATATTTATACAGACTATCATAAGACCAATACATTAGGAGTAACCAAGACCACAGTGTTGGGTACAACTGATAAGTAAATCTGAACTAATTGGTATTATATGATGATCAATCTCCATTCAGGTGAAAGTGTTAGATAATTTGTACACATCTCTTCAATATCTACAGTACTTTTTGTCTACAGTGACAGTTCAAGTACTGATTATTGTTTATATTTTTATATTTAAGATCGATTGAAAAAAAAATATTGAATTTCAACCGATACAAAATAATTATCTGGTTTGCTAGGTTTTGTTCCATCAGGGGGAGTGAAGTTTAATATTCAGAATTGCAAGTAGTGACCAAACCACCTTCCTCTGACCTTGTTGGCTCACCAGACTTAATCAAACCTAGACTTAACTGAACTACCTAGCTATGCCCTTAATGTGGGGTCATATTTTTTCTAGACCAGACTAAACTACCTTTCTGTCCTTAATGTCGGGTCATATCTTTCTAAATTTAACTGAACTACCTAGCTTTGTCCTTAACGTGGGGTTAATTTTTCTAGACCTTACTAAACTAGCTTTCTGTCCTTAATGTGGGGTCATATCTCTCTAGACCTAACTGAACTACCTAGCTTTGTCCTTAATGTGGGGTCATATCTCTCTAGACTTAACTGAACTCCCTTGCTATATCCTTAATGTGGGGTCATATCTCTCTAGACTTAACTGAACTACCTAGCTATGCCCTTAATGTGGGGTCATATCTCTCTAGACTCAACTGAACTACCTAGCTATGTCCGTAATATGGAGTCATATCTTTCTAGACCTGACTAAATTATCTTTCTGTCCTAAATGTGGGGTCATATCTCTCTAGACCTGACTAAACTACCTTTCTGTCCTTAATGTGGGGTCATATTTTTTCTAGACCTGACTAAATTATCTTTCTGTCCTTAATGTGGGGTTATATTTTTTCTAGACTGAACAGAACTACCTAGCTATGTCCTTAATGTGGAGTCATATTTTTCTAGACTGAACTGATCTACCTAGTTACGTCCTTAATGTGGGGTTATATCTCACCAGACTTAATCAAACTGCCTATCTATACCCTTGTGTAATTAGAAGTGACAGAATATTCTATGGAGTATTATTCTTTAGTAGCAAAATCAATTATTTTTATACCAGAGCATACATATACAAACTTAAGCAATTTGAATCTAGAAATAGTTTTTGACTGAAACATCAATAAAAAGGGAAAAAAAGGAAACTGTATGATTGCTAGTGAAATTAAATGTAAATTATGGTAAACTGTGTAAACTTGGACAACATGTCTCATGGTTGTGAATATTGATCCTGAAAACGAATTCTATGACAACCATGAAGAGGTAATAGACTCCCTCCAGCAGCTATTTATTAGAAGTAATTTGCAAGAATATTCATTAGGAATGTTTGCGTTTGCAAACTAATTTTTGCTATGACTGATTACTTTTGTATAAAGACTGTGTTCTGTAGACACACATAGCGGCTCTTCATCATTATTTTATATGTCGGCCTCCAGTCAAATCCATATTATTACTGGTATTACAACAAGCAATATTTACATGCAGAGTGCTTTTATGACGCTGAAAAATCCATCACTACCTTGTTTTCATTTTTCATTTTCAATAAATCTGTCACCATACTCATCGTTCAATAATTGGAAAATGTAGACAATTTAACTTTGTTCTGGCATGGTTTTCACTTAAGGCAGGCCAGTAGGTGTTGAGGGAAGGAATTAGCCATCATAGGGCAGAAATCCTATTCAATCTCTTGCACCTTGTTTATCTGATAGTTTAAAACCCTTAACAGGAAGGTGCTGATATATTTGATCAATCTTATCAAGGTATGGTATTGATGACATTACAGATAAGGAGTATATCATTATTGGAATTATCCATAGAGTTAATTCTATAATTAGTAAAAAGTGCTTAACATGTCGGCATTATGTTTTTGATATCCAATATGTGACAGACATTCTGTACTATTGTTTAATCTAGTCCTCCAAAGACACAAATAGGTTAACTTCTTTGCTACAAACTGTTTAGAAAAAAGGAGACAAAAGCAGTCGATCAGGTGTTTTATTTCTTAAGGTATTATATATAACAGCATCTCCTTATAAATGGATGTGTTACTAGTGTAAAACAATAGGTGATGAAGTGTCAGTTTACTTTGATAGATATTGTCTTTGATGAGCCAGACAAGGTATATACTGTGGCCTAAATAAACCCTTGGAACCTTTTTCTCCTTGTGATATCTTGACTTTAATGCCTTTGTTTTGTTTTTGCTGTCTTTAAATCTTTTCCAAAAGAGGAGTCTTAAACTTATATTTGAAGCTGTAAAATGTAATAAATGGTAAATTTCTAAAACAGAGCTAACTATTTGCAGAAACTATATAAGAAAATGTCAGTGTAACTCATCACCGGGCTTCTCACAGCCCACTCTTCTTCTGTCACAAACAGCTCCAGATAATGGGTCCTACTTTGAAGAGAAGCCCTGGTGATGACATTAACTAAGAGAGCGAAATTGACATGATTTCTATAGATATTTCTACTTTTTTGGATGTTTCTGGAAACATAACTTTAATGTGACACATATTAATTGGCATGTTGACTGGTTTGTTCTGCTGTGGTGAAAGAGAGGTGAACCCTGAAGGCTTCTATTTCTAGTAACGTTCAGAATAAATCACAACTGGAAGTCTTATTTAATTGATCTCCCACCACTCAATGCAAATCTTTCTTGGAGACTCTGAATGGCACAGAACTGTGCTGATGTTTTCCCTCTCTTAATGACTTACACACCTTAAGCAGTCTCTAATACAAACCTGATACAGAACCTTAATGAATTGACAGGAGAAAATGGCTATGACAGAGGCTGATACCTCTCTACCAATTTTTATCATTAATTAAAATGGAAATAACAGAATGAACTTTTCCAGTATCTTCTATTAGCTGGGTAAGTCCATCGCTGCTTGTTGACATAAAAGTATGCCTTAAGAAACCCCATCAGCAATTTCCTTCTGTTACAGTGCATGGTGCCTTTCCATGGTTCCTCTGGTCAGCAGGAACCGGCAGTGTTCAGGTTGGCAGGCTTGTGATTTACATCTTCATACATTATAAAACAATGTGATACAACACTGTATTGAATACAATTAGATACAATACTGTATTGAATACAATTAGATACAATACTGTATTGAACACAATGTATTACAATATTGTACAGTACTCAACTACAATAAATTGAATCACAATATTGTATGATAATACGATGCAATTCAGTAACACACTATTCTGCAAGAGATTTTTGGCAAAATTTCATAACATAATGTCATACTAAAATATTTCATTATTATACATGACATTGTATGAACTGAAAATGAACAACGGCATGACGGCTGCTGTATGTTATACTAGAAATCAAAAAACGCTAAAGGAACACCTGTCTTAGTCTCACTGACTTGGTGGTGGGTTCTGATGACAAGAGATGACATGACTGCTGCTGTATGTAATACTAGAAATGGAAACCCAGAAGGAACACCTGTCTTAGTCTTACTGCCTTGGTGGTGGGTTCTGATGACAAGAGATGACATGACAGCTGCTGTATATAATACTAGAAAAGGTAACTCTGAGGGAATGTACCTGCCCACTGTTTCCATTAAAAAAAAGTTTCTTACTAATTTTCAAAGAATTTTTTCAGTAGCTTATCATTCTAATCATATTTGAATTTTAAATTCTTCCGTTTAATTTAGAAAGCATGAGTTACACTGGGTTAACATTATGACACAAACAGTAGCTTTAAAAAGCAAGAACCAATGTCTACTGCTGACAGAATTCCTTTTGGTTTCATGAAATATCTTTTAAGATTTTTTTAAACTTAATTTCCCTATAGAGAAAACATGGCCTCAGTTCAAAAAAGAATTGAGTCAAATCTGAGATTTATTTGTTCTTATTATGGGGAGTATAACTGTAACTAGAACCTCTGGAGGTAAAGCTAAAGATAGTCAGGGAACTTACCTCATGAAACGTTAATCAGTCTTCAATATTATACACACTCAATGAAGAAATATGTGACATTATAAAGCTGAGTAATCTCCCTTGTCAATACTGTTAATAATACAGTGCCCTGGAGATGGTGTCTTTAATGGTTTAAATGTAAATTTTACTGCATAATGTCTATGTATCTGTGTCTAAAATAAATGTCAGAATGTGAACCATAAAAAAGAGTGAATAGTTTGTCAGAAAGCTATCACCTGTAGTAAAATGTGTGCCTATGACCTGAATTTTAGACCTTCAAACATTTAACTGCGCTATATATAATTTAGGATATTATTTTTTCAGGTACAAATGTACTCAAGATAATAAATGTAGTGCTGACAAGCATGTATCTAATACAGGATATCACCCTTGACAAGTAAATAGTATGAGCGTAAAGGGGGAAAAAGAACTATAGAGTAGATGACCCATCTACTATTCTCTTAAACTCAGTTTTTCGAGATTCATTTGCAGCAATGAAGTGAGATTAAAATTGATAACTTTTCCGTTTGAAAGTGGTAACATCCTCACATACCTACATTTTACCCAAAGTTATCTTTTTATACTTTATGGATACTTTAATGCATTTCTATTTTTTTCATGTGCAGCTTTGATATGTTCAATTGTGTGTTTTTCATGATAATATCTACATAAAACAAAAGAAAGATAATGATAACCACAAATCTTTGTGACCACAAGCAGGACATTAGTTTATGAAGAAGTAAGATCTCATGACATACCTGTCTGACAGAAGTCGCCGACATATCGTGTGGCCTTGCAGTCACACACATATCTGTTCCAGCCCTCACTACACTGGCCATTGTTGATACAGGGGCGAGTCATACACTGGGGCTCAGATGGACGACAGAAATTTACGATGTCAGTCTTACTCTGTTTTCGGGCAGCGTTGAGAAGGTCCATTTTGTTCCCATTAATGACAACATCTTGCATGCAGCCAACAAATCCATAACCAAGCATGCCCGCCCACATCTCTTTTGGGAGCTGGTACTTTTCTTTGTAATCATTGACTCCACCTACATATAAGACCCCTACCATGTCCAGGTTAGAGTTCTCTCCCCTGACAGTATAATTCACTCTTTGTCCATCAAACAGGATCCAGCCCCGTCTGCCAATGTGCTCCAAGCTAACTTCATGAAGTTTTGCATCACTTACAGGCTGCATAGATACCTGTATACGCATGGCTCCAGAACCCAGATCAATTATCAGGTACATGAAGCGATCTTGGATCTCAAAAGCAAAAAAGTCAGACTTTCTGGTGCCACTATTGTACATGACAACACCATTTGGTTCATTGGTCATAAATGCGAAAGAGAGTGAGCCACCAGCAGATCCTACCTCCCATGAAGGCAGGATGATGTAGGACTCAGGAGTTGTAAAGGTCACTGGCTGAGATTCCACAATGTCATGACATTTGTTGAACACCACATTCCCAACAACCTTGAGGATGTCACTTTGCTCTATTGCCAAGGTGGTGAGGTCAAGGGTCACACTATCTGATTTGTAGATCACCTGAAATTGAAATTTACATAAAATACAACAATCTCAGCTATAAATATTACAAGAAGGTTTATACATGGAAGAAATAATGTTATGTTGACATGAATATTTGTAGATATATGGCATTAACTTCATATTATTTATCAGTACAACTTCTCCTTTGTGTTACCTTTTTCATGCAGCCTTTGAAGTTGGTCTGGACTCTGGCACCATACAGTGTGGAAGGGCTTGGACTGCCTCCTACATATAGGAATCGGCTTGACAACATGGTAAATTCACCTGCTGTTGTACCAGACTTCTTAAAACCACCATCTACCACAATGTCGATCTGTGGGTAAACAACATCAGCAATGAATATCTCCTCAACATTAACAATCATAATCTAATTTTCTCATCATCATAATGATGTAAAAAAGCAACTCATTCAGAATTCTATACACACAATATTGATGCATATTTTTGGAACATTTTTGAAAAGAGGTTACTGTTATCCAAAGTTTCCCTGACATAGAAACAAGTGCACTGAAATTACCTCTTCCTGAAAATGTGTGATGTTTTCTTTACATGTAAATCTTAATCTCAGTTATGTTTGTTTAAGCATGTATGTTGTTACTTCTGGGACTGGTGAAATTCTTGCCACCATTTCATCACTACATTATATGTATTGAGCAACTACAGGAACATTATCAATAAAAAACATGACGCTATAACACTGATGGAGTTGTTAAAGTGTGAAAAAGTAAACTTGTCAAAATAAAACAAATGATAATGCAGAAATTCTACCAAGAAAACTTCCTCACCATTTAGTGCAACAGCTAGAAAAATACTCCACCATTACAACTGACAATGCTACACATTTGGCAAAAGTTATAATCTGGATTATAGAGACAGGTAGACACTGAGCCATACAGTTATGTGTCTAATGAACAAATGTAATGTTATGTATAACCATACCAAAAGCACAATCAACATAACACAAAATAAACGTGAAATTAACCACTGGATTACTTTATTTCTACTTCAATTAAGCATCACTGGTATTTCACTACTACCAGATTCAAATTAAAATAACAAGAGGTCCAAAATGCCTGTATCACTCATCCATTTTAAAAGCAAGAAATAATTGCGAATATTATCATAAATTATTATATTTCAAATAATCCAGTACCAGGCTCCGATTGTCATCAGTAAGGGCACTGAACCATGCATTATATAAAATTTGACTCCAGGTTACAAGGATGCACGGATAGCTGAACAAATATCTATATAATGATACACACAACAGCAAAGGCACAGTTGTGAAATAAGTTCCAAGGTTAGAGCAAAACCCCTGGACACCTTCTTTTCTATATTTGTCTTGTTAATCCCAGCGATGCTTTTTATAATCAAGGTTGGATAATTTCATTCTGTCCTTGTCAGGCAGACTGGACCACAGGTCATTCATAACAGTACAGTTGCATGTATTCATCCTGTCAAGCAATTTTTCACCTGAACTGATATGATTTGATAGAAAGTCCTAAGAATCAGGGCCAGACTGAAAGTTTATCATGATCATGTAATACATAGTTTTTTAAGTATACTGCCAAACACAGAGAAATGCACACTTACAGGAATGAATGCTACTTCCTGTCCCATGGCCAATCTATGTAATAATATGCTAAGGCCCCAAATTCCCATTTTCTGCACATTGACCATAGTTGCTTCAACTTTTGTTACACGAAGTATAATATCATCTCCCTCCATATATGTTTCAAAACAAGTTTGGTGACACTTTTTGTAACCATCAGGGCACTGCCAATAGAATGTCATGTCCAAAATCTAGAGTAATTAAGCCAGCTGAGTTCCTTTAGCTTAAGGATGTTGCAAATCAAATCATAAATTGATGGATCTCTGTAATATCACTTATTTGGCCCTCACTCTATATCCCTTGAGTGTTATACAGCTAGTACATTAACATAGAGTTCCCCTTAGCTAAACAACATATTCCATATAATATCTAGTCAAAATCCACTTAGCAGTTCTTTAGTAGTGGTGTTTAGATGAAATCTATTGGGATGACAAACAGCCTACATTGCATCATGACATGAGCTCTACTGTGGCCTCTCTGTCCTGTTCAGCTAAAAACCAAAGGAGTTTCTTCACAGAGAATTCTGTAGCTGATAAAAATTCATTGTAAATGAAATGTATTATGACATTTGGTGCAGTCAAGAAGTCTGGGCATACACCACATTAAGATTTAAATGAAACATTGATTTATAACAAACTTTCTCCTAAAATTATTGTCTGAGTATAGGTTTCAAATCAATGTTACTTTGTGATGATTATTAAACTTTATGCAATACCTGGTCAACCAGATGGTGATCACTGTGTTCTTTAATATGACATAATTACATTAATGGTTCATGTATCTAAGACTACCCAGTCCAAACAGTTAGACAGAGTTATTCCCCTTAGCATATCAGCTTCATCTGTAAGCATGGTTACTCTAATCTCATTCCGGATCACAGATCTGTCATGTTCCCTAAAAGGCTGTTCAATTTTTCAAAATGTATTGAAATATTTCCAGCCTATTAAGGCTGTAGAATTCCTAGATGGAATAAAAGTTTAAATCCAATTAAAGCTGTAATCTGAGTTCTAGCTAGGCAGAGACAGGATCACTCTCACCAGACCAATCATACATTTCTAAATAACACACACACAAATTGAGCTTATCAAACTCCTGGTGCATGTTTTTGACTTATGAATATGGATCATGATTTAGTAAGATGCAAATCCTGCATAGCTGCAATAAGTCATCACCAGTTGCTTGTTGTATTAGATTGTATTTGTCACGTTACAGGATGATGTACACTATGTAACGGCTGATATTTGACTGTGTTTCCATGGTGATCAATACCATCTTCGCAGGCTGTCATTGGGCCAGGGAAGGCAATGATTACAGAACAACTATGGGACCAATACAGGATTATATTGTTGATTTTACAGCCAGCACCAATTTGAATTACCTTATATATCTTAAGTCTACAATTGGAGTTTTTAAACATCTACAAAACGTCTTCTGTTTACGACAGTTAGATGTATCCCAATTTAGGTGTATACACCTCAGAACAAAAGCCTCTGAGAAAACACTGGTATTTTATTATAGACAATGAAAATAGCCTGACTCAAGCATGTAAACCTGATCATAATCCATTAAAATAGGCATCTCCTTTCTTTAATAACCACATCTAGCTTTCTTTTGAAAGGTAAAATTCTATTTTGAAAGTAAGGAAACAATTGAAGAAGGTCCTATTTTCAATGCAGTTATAAACAGATGCTATTTCTAAACCTCAAAAGTGATGTTATACTATCAATGATAACATAATAACACATTCTAATATTTAGTCAGGTTTTAAATTATACTTCAATTATTTTACTGTGGAAATGTATTTCAAAATACCTTCAGGTATAGATTTAACATAAAAGGCTCATGGTTCTTAACAGTGGCCTGACATAAAAAAAAACTAGGTACATATCTAATACAAGAGACCTATGGGCCTTAACAGTCGTCTAACATAAAGACCAGGTACATATCTAATACAAGAGACCCATAGGCCTTAACTGTCATCTGACATAAAGACCAGGTAGATATCTATTACAAGAGACCCATAGGCCTTAACAGTCATCTGACATAAAGACCAGGTAGATATCTAATACAAGGGACCCATGGGCCTTAACAGTCATCTGACATAAAGACCAGGTACATATCTAATACAAGAGACCCATAGGCCTTAACAGTCATCTGACATAAAGACCAGGTACATATCTAACACAAGACACCCATAGGCCTTAACAGTCATCTGACATAAAGACCAAGTATATATCTAATACAAGAGACTCATGGGCCTTAACAGTCACTTTGAAAGTAAATCAAGGTCATTAATTTGAACATACTTGGAAGCCTTTCATCTCAGCATGCTACAGACTGATATCAGTACCCTGGACCTTTTGGTTTTTGAGAAGAAGCTGAATAAATGGAATGTTTACACTCTGTGGATGGAGCATGATGACAGAGTGTATATGATGATGTTATTGTTGATGTGAGCACATCAAAAGAATTGACGGTCACCATACATGTATCTATCAACTTAGAATTGTCAGGAAAACGTGACTCTGCAATAATTCTTAACTTCAAATCCCTGAAAGTACATTTGTAAATCTCCTTTGACAAACTAAATCCTTAAAAGAATATTTTATAGTTAAACTGCTCTCTGCTGGACTCGAAGGATATAAAATTAAGAATACTTGTGTATGGGTAATAAAAAGCTTCACCAATAACTCTACACATCTAAAATATGAGTTGTGAAGTACACTGTGATCACAGGTCAATTCCAAACACCGGTGTAAAACATGCATTAGTTTAAGGTTCCACGTGTCTATTTTTAAGCCTTGTTTTGAAAGGTTCACTAGGGATGAAATATTCCTTGTACTATTACCAGATCATTTGTACTTCAAATATGCAATGATCAGTCTTGTGCTCAGAGAAGTATCTACCAGCCATTTTGTGAAAATAAATTTCCCTGGAGTTTAAACAGCACACTGTAATTGTTGTTCTCTAGAAACAATAGTGGTGTGATCATTCGAAATATTTTCACATGTGCAGTAATTAGCTCCTTAACTGATTTTATTATACAGGGAAAAGGTGTGCATTTAGTGTCCCAGTCTGTAACATATCATAAATAAATAATCAACTTGATGGTAATAATTCTAGGAAATCTAACATTATATGTTTTCTAGTCATAGGATGACGAAAACAAATATGTATATACGTATATCAAATCACATTGATATATAACATAGGATCTCATTTTATTTCATATTTTAGAAGTTTATATTTTTGCAAACCTTGTCAAGCAAAAATTACAACTTCGAGAAGAGTTTCATAAAATCTCGCATGAAATGAAAACAAATCAAGCCTAAGATACTCATTACATATAATATTATTGAGAAAAGTTACAGTTTGGCAGGCTTTGGCAATACAATTGATGTGTGACTAGCACAGCCAATGGGTATTCTACACCACTGACATATACCAAAATCTTACATGAGTAAATTCACTGACTAACAGGCAGGTCATGTGATAAAAATTGTAAGTTACTCCTAAGGAAACACGATAATGTATTATTCAACACGATGTATTCAAGAGGGATCTTGGCGCCAACCATCGTAATATCTTAATTACTTTTAGGTTTGATCTTTTGTTCTTTTTTCTCCTTATTTATATACCAT